TGACTCTAGATTTTGAATTCGCATCAGAGATTTTTGCCTTCAGAATTTGGATTCGATGTGGATCATGTTGATGCAGTTGAGCCAGCAGCATCACATTTTGCTCTCAAGGCCAAAATCAGGGGGATGATAAGGTCACAAGGAATGATTCCATACACATTTGTGATCTCCAATTGGTTTGCTGATTTCTTCTTGCCTAACTTTGGTGACTTACAAGCCAAAACTCCTCCTAAGGACAAAGTGGTCATTTTTGGTGATGGAAACACCAAAGGTATAATATGAGTCATTTGCAAAATGTAAATATGTTATGTGTATATCTCAGGGTCATAAAATCAGTTCATAAAATTATGATCAATCTAATTTAGGTAGATTTGGGTGGGTTGATGATCCGCTAATTATTTTATGAGGAAATTTTAAAAGTTACTAATATTTAAGCATGATTAGAGCTAGATCTGTAGTTATAGATTGTATATTTATAATTCATAACAACAATTGTATGTAAGGGAGAGCGAAGATTAGGAGAGAGGCGAGCAAGATTTGGGAGAGAGAGAGAAAGAGGAGATATGTTATAGAAAGAATGAATATAAGTTGATACATGGTGTATTCAACGAAATATAACGAATACAGTTTGATAGAGAGGAGTGAGGAGAGTAAGATTGGAAAGATGGGATAAAGGCAAGCGAGATTTGGGAGAGAGAGGAGAGATGTTAAAGAGAGGGCGAATAGAGGCAATACAAGATATGTTTGATGAAAATAGGTTATATCAATGAATACAGCCTAATATATACAAGTTGATATAGGTTGTATTCGATACATATATATTGATAAAGAGGGCCGAGAGGAAAGATACTAGAAAAAGGACAAATACATGCTGATATAGGTTGTATTCAACGAAATACAAGTTGTATCAATGAATACAACAAGCCATATTCAATACATGCATGTTGATATAACTGTATCACTTATTCATTTGTTGTTGTATCACTTGTATTCATTCGCAATATACAACAACATCAACTCTTTTTATCCTGTTTGATCTACATGCTAAACTTTTGAAGTTAATATGAAGTAATAATCTTGTGTAAAGTTTAATTTATGTAATTGCCCTGTCATGACTCATGTATTTCATTTTATGTCACAATGTAAGCAATATATGTGAAGGAAGAAGACATAGCCACATACACTATCAAAGCAGTAGATGATCCAAGAACTTTGAATACAACTCTTCACATAAGACCTCCTGCCAATATTTTTTCCTTCAATGAGATAGTGTCTTTGTGGGAGAAAAAGATTGGCAAGACACTTGACAAGTTGTATCTTCCAGAGGAAAATATTCTCCACATGATACAAGGTAAAGTATCCTATCCGTTTTAATTTGTATGACATAATTTATTATACTCTGTGTCAAATAAAAACCAGACAAATAAGTTGAAATAATTGAAGGAGTATCATTTTTACTCCTTTAAGAAGCTCCCACTCTTTTAGCTCCGATCCCTTGGTAATTCAAACTCACAACCTTAGAGTTGATGATAAAGGGTGCTTACTATCGAAGCAACTTTCCCTTGTCAGTAAAAAACAACAACAACATATTTGATACAATCTTACAAAGAAAATCAATAGGAAATTCGAAAAAGAAAAAAAGAAAGGTTAATACATCATCAATCTCTCATACTTGTCTACAAATTTCATTTGGCCACTTAAGCTATGATTTGTTTCAGTTGATGAGCACTTAAACACATGATAAATTAAGTGTTCTTTAAATATTTTCGATTCAAATTTTAATTATTATGTTTTGTGTGTTCTTAAGTGTTAATTGCGTAGATAAATTAACTACTCCATGTATATGTCACCTCCTTAATCTAATTATACATGCATGTTGGCCTCAATAAGCCATAAGATCTCAGACATGTTCTAATTAAGGTTGATATGTACAATAAAAAAATAAATTATATTATATAATTAACTTAACTATCTAATAAACATTTGAGAATTACAAAAAAATCCAAATTATAATTAATTTGATTAAAAAGGTCTAATCAGAACACTTTCTTAAAATAAATTTTAACACATGGTACAAACTAAAGGCTTTGATATTTCAATCCTGCACTTTTTAGAACAACACTTCAAATGGTAACAACCATTTAAGCAAAAATTATTAATTGATGTTCAATTAAATTCGTATTCAAGACTTTTAACTCCGCCCTTTTTGATTTTCTTTTTCTTTTTAAACTTGTTTTGCAGAGGAACCTGATCTTCCATCAAAAGTCAATTTGGCCATATGCCATTCAGTATTTGTCAAAGGAGATTCTACAAACTTTGAGGTTGATCCTTCTATAGGAGTTGAAGCCACAGAGCTTTACCCAGAAGTGAAATACACTACTGTCAATGACTACTACAATAAATTTGTCTAGATTGTGTATAACAATATAATTAAGTTGTTAAGTTGTCGGTTTGTCAGAAATAACTTCTCTTCAGATTTTATTTGTTAAATTATATTAAGTATGTTATTATTGTGTAATTTATATATATAATAAAGGTGAAATATAGACAAGGTAATGTGACACCTCTCTATGGTCTCCATTTGTATTTATCTTTTTTCTCTTTTTTTTTGGCTTTTTAAAAAAAATTAAATTAATTATTGTATTGTAAATTATTGTATCAAATTATATTAAGTATGTTATTGTTGTGTAATTTGAATTATATTGTTGGATATTTTCTTGTTATGTATCTAATGACTATTTTATCTAAGGCTTAATATATAGCCAACTCATTAAACTTGCCAACATAGTTTATTTACATATACAAAAAAATATGGTTTAAATGTTTTAGTTGTATATGAAAACATGATAAAGTGTTTTAATTAGATATTTTTTATTCACATTTTAGAAATCTTTTGGGTTTGTTGTAAATAGTATATTAGGTAGTTAAGTTAATCACACAAAATATTTTATCTACTTTAATTATACACATTAATGTCAATTAGGAAACATATGGGTTTTATGGTTAACTGAGACGAATGCATATAATTAAAGATAACAAATTTTCAATAGTTCCTTGCAGAGGCGAACCCAGAATTGGAAGACGGCAGGGGCAATATTAAAGTCGAATGTGAGTTAGTGAAGCAACAACACTTCATCAAAAAATATTGTCAAACAAGTACAAAATCGAGTGTATATATAAATATAAATAAAACAATCTAATATAATTCACTCTATAATTTGATGGTCTTAACCCTTAGTGTACACCTTGAGATTGCTACTTCGAATCTTGCTTTAGGTTTTTTATTAGGCCTTTTTTTAGAAAAAAATAAAATTGACAAAAAGGAAATGCAACAAGCAAAATCGGCACCAACAATCGGGTGTTTAACCACTACACCAACTCAACTTATATGTCTTAGCTAGGGTGCACATTTAGTTATATATTCCTTATTTCATAATATACATGTATATACACAAAAAAAAAAATTCGAAGTGAACGGGTGCACGTGAACCCACAACCTCAAGGGTGGGTCGCCTCTGGTTCCTTGCAAAGGTGCAGCTATATTTAGGTGGTACCACCTTCTTGTTGGTGTTACAATTCTTTGCAAAATACTTCACACTACTTTGCTATTAGATATCATATTTTTCTTCATTGTCATTTTCCCTTTCTATAATTACTTTGAACACTTGAGTCGAGCTCTTTCATAAATAACTTCATTACCTCCATATATATATATATATCTTATCAAGACTCAATATTGTGAGATTTTACTAGCTATATTGTTGCTGGTCCTATTTTTAGTGTATAAAAATCATGTAAAGATAATTATTAATAATTGTAAATGAGAAATTCAATTAAGAACTGAATTTTGATTCACGTTCAAAAGTCCTATGAATTTGTTATACACGTAAGTCTTGAATCCAACTTTGAATTGGATTTGACTTTTGGTTCTAATGTCAATTATGTATGGATTTTGGAATTATACTTTTAGGTGAAAATGGTTTACGTCTTTTAACTTCGCTTTAAAAATTGAATATTTTTAGATTAAAGGATGAAAAAAAATGATATTATTAAACTATTTTTAATACAAAAAATGTTATATTTACCATTTATATTTTTTTGAAAAAAAGATTATATAGGAAATATAACACCCTATAAATATGACCTTTCCGTTTCTAATAAATTAAGAATATTTTTACCTTTTTTTTCATAAAAAAATATAATTAAAATGAAATTTGATAATTTCGAATCAATAACCAAATCCCACACTGATTCTTTTGATTCTTGCAAGCACAGGCGTTCATTCTGCTACGGCTCATTACGGTACTTGAAACGCCATTAACATCTTACATCGCCTTCATCAGCTCTGATCGTCTCTTTTTTATGTATGTATCTCCTTCATCTTTTGGGTTTACTGTCTCCATGTGCTTTTGGTTTGATCTCGAATTGTGTTTCTTCGTTTAATCGAATTTATTTCTTTGCTCTGTGATTTGACATCTTCGTATTCGTATTTGAGCTTAGCTTTTCGAATTTAGGGATTTTTGGTTCTTTCGGAGCTACAGGGATTTGTAATTTTGAGGCACTTATGGCTTTAGGGTTGAGTAAATTCAAACTTTGTTGAAAGATAAATCTTAAGAGGAAGCTACCGTTTGACCATTGATTTTTGAAGTTGAAACTTGAAAATTTGAGCTTTTGTACTAGTTGTGATTTTTGGAATTTAAACTTGTGTTAGGATAAGCATTTAAATTAGGATTAAATTTGAAGTTTTGTAAGTGGAAGTCTCAAAAACCTAAAAACTGGTATGAGTCAGATTTTCCTTATGTGATCAAATTTCATGGCTAGACAGATATTTGAAGATAAATATTCAAAATTTATGGCGAAATGCTAGCGAAAGTCTATTTTAATAGTTACTCCATAAAAAATGAAAATACAGTTGGAGTTTCTTATGTATGAAAATTAAGCAAGGAGATAATCCTTGTGTTGTCTGTCAGGTAAGTGCTGTGTAATTAGATTTATGGATTTAGTTTAGTGAAAGGCCTGGCTTTGATTCTTGATGCAGGAAGTTTTGACTTTTGAGCATAATGGTGGCTCCATCTTCAACCTCTACCTCCCTGAAGGAGTACCTAAAAAAATATGAAAGTAACACCAATGAAGAAGGAAAGAAGAAACAGAAGAAAAAGAAGAAGGTTAAACCTAATGATGTCAAAGGTGTTGTCGTCGTTGACGAAGATCCTGTTTGGCAAAAGCCTGTAAAAATTGAAGATGAAGAGGATGAGTCAGCTGGTAATGTATTTCAAAGGTTTGTTTTTGTTGATTTTTTGTATCCTTTGGTGTTGGTATATCTGTGTCTCTTAACTGTGTTCTTTTACAGATGAAGAACTGCCTCAGGTAAATGAAGATATTGAAGTTAAGCGTATGAAGAGATTGGAACAGATTAGAGCTAGACGTCCATTTGGTTCTGTTTCAGAAGATGGAAGTGGTTGGGTATCTGTTTCAAGTACTTCTAATGACCAAATTTCTGATTTGTCCCCGACACAGAAAAGGCCTGGTCGAAATGATAGTCCCTCACCAGAACCTCAACTTAATCCATCAAGTCCTGCAGCTGATTTATCACCACCACGTAAACCTAGGGCTCGAAATGATACACCCTCTCCAGAAAGTCGGCGTAAGCAACCAAGAACTCAAGAGGCTGATCTGTCGCCACCTCGCAAGCGTAGTGCCAGGAATGATACACAGAGGACTAGGATTCGTACACCTTCACCTGAACCCCAGTTGAAGCCTTCAAGTGCAAAAGATGCTGATTTGTCACCACCACGTAAGCGGAGGGTTCGGAATGATACACCTGAACTTGAAATGAAGCCTTTGAGCACTAGAGATCCTGATATTTCACCACCACGTAGACAAAGGGCTCGGAATGATACACCTGAATCTGATATGAAGTCCTTGAGAAGTAGAGATACGGATATCTCACCACCAAGGAGACGTAGAACTCGAAATGATACCCCTTCACCAGAACCCAAACCCAGGCCTTCTGCTGATTTGTCGCCACCAAGACGGAGGCAAAAGTACGGCCAAAGTCTTTTGGATATCTCTGATGTTTCTCCTCCTCGACGAGGTTCCCGTGCTCAAGGTGATTCGAGAGCCGATCAAGCTACAGATCTCTCGCCCTTGAGGAAAAAGAAAGCCCAAAATTCACTGGAGGCACGTCCAGATTCATCCACTACGAAGCAGGGACCAAAGACTGGTTTGGTTAGTGGCAAAGATATCAAAGAAGAAATTGATAGGACAAAGAAGGAAGACTGGATGAGGTAATTCTATACTACTTCATGTGCCTTATCTTCTTTTCTTTTTTGCCATTATTTAGGGTCAGTTTGGAAGTACAGGGCAAGTAAAGTAATATGCGAAGAGACTGGGAAATCTTGTTTTCTGGGGAGGAGAATTTTATGCTAAAAAATCAAAGCTTTCGTGAAAATGACCATCACCAGATCCCACTAATGCTTGATTCTTGCTCTAGCTAATTCTAATTGATGAAGTAACAATGATTTGTATTTTAGGTTTCAGGAAATGGATCCTTTGGTTAGTGGCCGTGGTGCTGAACCGGTATATCGGGATAAAATTACAGGTGCATGAACTATGTAAATTATTCTTATAGTTACTAAATAAGGTCTTTCATTTGGTCTCACACTGTATCGCTGCAGGACAACGGATGTCAAAGGAGGAGTTCTTGAAGTCCAAGAAGAAGAAGGAAGAGAAGGAGAAGCCAAAGGTACTTTATCCAATATATATTTTTATTTACATGAATAAGTTGTCAACCTTGGAGCTAGTCTTTCTTCAGCATTACTTTTCTTACTTTAGATGTGCAAGCTTTCCAGAATTCAGGGCAAATATTTCTTCCAATTTCTACATCTTATTCAAGCCAATAATATCGACTACAATCAACAATAGACTCTTTTAATGCAGATATTCTAGGGACTTAAAAATATAGGGGTATTCCATTTGCTAGTTAGTGTGGGGTAGTAGTAGTGGTAGTTCTTCATCACCACTTCTTTTAATTTCCTCATTGTCTCTTCCATCTCCTGTGTAACTTCTCCCAGATTCGTCTATGCACAACCTTTCTGTAATTTGCACAAATAGTTCTTCCTCATATTTTATGCTGCTGACAAGTGCTGGCAAATTCTTAAGTTACATGTGAATGAATGGCTCTCTTCAAATAAAAAAGTACTCTGTTTAGCATACTCCTTTCCGATTATGTTTTCCACTTGCGCGGAATGTCTACTTATTCTCTAAAAATAATCAATTTGATATGTAAGGGGACAGATGAATGTTATTTCAGTAGTATTTCTTCAAAGAAACGTCAGTTGAAAGCTACGGATTTGGTAGTAGTTGAGATTTCAGATCACAAGCCCCTTCGAATCAGATTCACTTCTGGCCAGAAAGCCATTGACTATCTTGTCCTTCTTGGCTTGTCTAACACTGAAGTTAATGTCTGTATCTAAGAAAGTTTAGTGTAATATTTCTTTTGGCAGAACCTGTTCTTGAGTAGAATTTATGTACTAATATTCATTACTTGCTAAAGTTCTTACCTGATATTTGCATTACAAGGATCTCTTTGCTCCCTCGTAGCCGCACAACATATGGGCAATATAAATTACAAAACTTTATTTTAAAGAATGTACTGCATTCCTATCTAAATAGAGAATCCTATAACAATCAATCTGATCCTATTTAAATTTGGAGTCCTTCCACGAAAAAGTATCCAAAAATATTAAATTTTAGTTGATTTCAAAATCCTGATAGTACCAATTTTCTCAATAACAAGTTTTAGTCCCTTGAATGGATGGGTTATTTTGAAAGACTACAAAGTCTTTCAATATTTTGGAGATATTTTTGTCTCTCAATGTTGTGTTTTGACATTTGTTCTTTTAAAATAATATATAGATAGATTATTGGTCTCACAACTGATCTTTTAAATTTGCCTTTCACTTTTCCTACTCTATAAGTAGACCATTTGTAATTCGTTTCGAGACACTTGACTTGACGCGTAGCACTTTATGAATTGAGTTCTTTCAAATTTTTTGTATTCTTCTCCAATTTTCCCTTCTTTCTACTCCAAGTCTCTCTTTCAGTGCTACATCACTTGGTCTTTTCCATGACCATCAGTTGCCGTAGCTCTCCTCCTCCTTATATGTGCTTAGAACAGACTATGTTTTCTGAAGTGCATATATACACAGTCAACTGCTGTTTGTTAATCTTTGTGAATTTCTTTTGTTTTTATCCTTGTATCAGGAAATAAAACTGGAATGGGGAAAGGGCTTGGCTCAAAAGCGTGAGATGGAGGATAGGCTTCAGGAACTGGAAAGTGAGAAGGACAAGCCGTTTGCACGGAGCAGGTTTTTACATTACTAGAATATTCCTTATGGTTTTTTTTTAAAGATGGATCAATGTGTTTAGAAGGTCTGAACTTGAGATGATGTGTGTACTCTCTTGCCCACTTTCTGCATTAGAAGTATGTCTTTCGACGTATATTCATTAATTCTTGAAACTTCTTTCTGGATTTTACTAACATGTAAATGCATAGTGCTAGAAGATGGATTATTGAACCTGTATTTATATTTTAAAGATTGGGCATCCTATATGCTTTTAGTAGCCTTGCCCGTGGTTGTTACATATTTATAAGACTTCAAAATTTTCTTGCTGGCTGAGATGAGTTTACTCGCATGATTTTCACATTTTGTGAGGTCTTTTTTTTTTACATAAATCCCGAGTTCTAAAACTAGGCCAGCATTAGGAAGCTTCTTATTAAGTTCTATAGAGTTGGCAGAGGCACTATTACATTCCCCTTTCAATTTGCTCAATCTTGGCAACATTGCATACACTTGTTGAAACACTGTAGTGCGTGATATATTTGAGAAACCACCTCTTCTTGAATAGATCTGTCAACTTAGTTTTTTTGTGTGCACAATACTACGCCTTAATTCCAAAAGTAATAGGGATCGGTTACGGGTATTCTCTTTATTTATTCTATTCCATTTGGGTCCATTTCATTTCTGTACTCAATAATGTGTTTTAAGACAAATGAGGAGTCGCCTAAAATTGAGATACTTAAAGATCTCATGCATATCCTTTCATAGACACACTCATTAGTATAAAATATGAATGGGCTCCTAATAGAAACTAGACTTGATGTAAGTCTACCCTTTACGAACAATTAAACCTCAATTCCAACTAGTTGACCCCTACATGGATGCTTTGTCTCTACTGTTCTGTTCTTCTCTAAGTTGGCATGACATCCAAAAGATTGTAGGTCTATGAGACTTACTCCTTTCATGTGACCATCTCCTTTGAACACCTATAATAATCATATTATCATAGTTTCATATTGTCACACTATCCGACCCATGAATTTGGAGGTCTCTCCATAAAAAATGATCAGACCATATCACATGACCTTCTCTCGTATAATCCTCCGGTTGTGCTATGCATGCCTCTACGAGATGAGATTATTTCTAGACTTGTTTAATCATCCATCTTTTCATCCACATTTTTATGACACTCATCTTGTGAATATGTTGGGTTTTAGAGGCCCAAACATTCACTCGCATTCACCATTGCTGCTCACGTACTTTCTTCTTATGAGTATATCCTCCTTTCACACAACACCTGGTTGCACTTTTCACTTCAGCCACATATGATAATTCTATATAGTACTTCTTCATCTATCATGCCATTCTATTGTAAGATTGAGCATAGTTAATTTATGTTAGGATTAGCCTAGATATTTGAATTATTTACCTTTTAGGCACTTCCAAAATCGCCTAACCTCACCTCAATTTCATTTCTTATTATGTGACTGAACTTGCAATGCCTATATGTTATCTTATTTAAACTCATTGCTTTCTAGAATGTTTCTACTAGTTGAAGTGGTTGGTTGACGTGGTATATTTATGTGTTCTAATTTTGCCTCGCAGAGATGATCCAGAACTCGACACAATGCTGAAGGAAAGAGTTCGATGGGGTGACCCAATGGCACATTTGGTTAAGGTGATTGTTTTACCCTACCACTTTTTTTTGAGCGCATCTATTCTATTCTATCTGTTTTGGGGTGGATGATTACCAATTACTAGATTTCTGCGTATTTTCATGATGACAGTCCGTGGTTCTTCTTTAATGTTCGAATCCTCTCTGTCTCTCCAAATATGATTTACATTCTTGGATGTTGCAGAAAAAGCTGGATCCAATTCTGCCGGACTTTGGGGCTAATGAGAAAATGAAGGACTCTGGTTTTATAATCCCTCAGGATATCCCTTCTCACAGCTGGATAAAAAGAGGCTTGGATGCAGCACCTAATCGTTATGGGATAAGGCCAGGGCGACACTGGGATGGGGTTGACCGGAGCACAGGTATTAAAGGACCTGTTATTATCTCTAGATAGATCGCTAATTTAAGCTTTGTATATTTTCCTCTTTGGTCAATATTGGTAACGTCAATGATGATTCTTGTCTAATAGGATATGAGAAGGAGTTGTTCAAGAGGACGAATGAGAAACAAGCAACAGAAAAAGAAGCATATCTGTGGTCCGTCTCCGACATGTGACTTGTTCAAGTTTCCTTTAGCTTTTTATATTTCAATGGAACAACTGCCTCCACTTCTCTTCAGTCATTTACATAGAAAGACCTATGTCTTACATAATCCCAATATGTTGTATTGCCTTTAGTACCTAGCCATTCCATTGGTATCTTTTTGTTGTATAAGATGTTGAAAATGTTTCCGCCTTTCTTCTTTATTCGTGGGTTAAATTTTGAGTTAATGCTCGAATTTGATATAAACGGGTTGTTGATTCTACTACTTGTGCTGTTGAGTATTGGAAATGGGTGTTTGCGTTTTGAGCTAAAATTTGTTGTGTTGTTTGTTTTCTTTTCTCGTCTTTTGGTTGTTTGTACTTTGTAACAAGTCCTAATTCTAACACCTTGCCCTCAAATGTATTACACTTGGTCTGATTCCTTTATACAGATAGCAACAATTTGTAAGACAAAAACTTGCTATGTGATTGCTTTATGTTTATGAGTTAGACACGTAAAAATCATTCGTGCTGACAATTGATTGATTTTATAATAGTACGCTAAAATCATCCGCACAGGCATGTGGAGATCGTTTGTGCTTATCTATAGATATCGTGAGTCCTCCATGAGTCCCGACTATCTGATAGAAAAAGTGAGTGTGTACCAAATTTTAACCAGTGCATTACATTTCATTTGCATTGCACTCTTATATATTTGGTATGGAATTGCTGACATGTATTTAACTTGATACATCCAAGGCACATTGTAATATTACCAGTGATGTGAGTGGTACTTTTAAAAAAAATACTTGATTTAATTGTTATGTTGGCGTGATTTGTTTTACGACATAATTATACTTGTAGAATATATTTCGTTATCGCTTCTAGAAGGGTTAGTAATTTGTCATGCCCTGAGTCTATACTATGGACGTGGCTGACACTCGAGAACAATTGATGATCCTCAAGCGAACCCTTGGCCTAGCTGACTACTTAGCAAAAGACTAGCTCAAGAAGAATTAAGCTTTAAAATAAAATTAAACATTTTAATCTCAAAGTACCCAACTGTCCCAATGTACTCCCCAAGCAATAATAGTTGAAATACAGTTTAACAAAGGAATATTGAAAACATACTCAAAACTAACTATCTATGAAGTTTCTACTGTTTTAGACGGATGTTGGAACAACACCCACGATACCTCAAATCAACAAACTAAAAGATAAAAGTGGAGTCTTCTGGAATGCAAGAAAGGCTCACCAAAGCTAGCAAGAAGTGCAAAGTGATATCAACGGAGCGCTTGTTGATGATCCTGAACACCTATAACTGCATCATGAAAAAATATAGGTCGAATGACATCAGTACATTGAATGAACGAGTATGTAACGTAGCTGGACTGAAATAACTAAATGAAAGGATTGCAATAGATATAAATATATACTCAATTGGATGTAAAGAAATAAAGGAGTGAAAACATTTAAACTTTCACAAATACTTACTCATCTTTGAACTCATCATATTAAGTGATATGATAAAAATACACTTTTAACTCTATTTGGGAGATTCTCTAACCGACAACCATCACTATGAGCAACGTGATGATACAACGTCTCGCTCACACTGTCAGAACAGTCCTATATCTTGTCGGGATATAGAACATCTCAACTAAGTGGAACCACTAAAGCTCTGCTCGAAAGCAATAAGGAGTTGTCTAAAAAGTACGATCCTTTACCCATGTTGGCTACATGGTTTATGAGGAATGTGAGTTGTCTGAACTCATCCCTATATCGGTGCTCAATACTACTCTCAATAAATATATATGCTCAAATGTATAAAACATACTCTTTCTCAATGTGAAGCAATTGCTCAAAATATCTTCTTAAAAGAGGTACAACTCTAAAATATCTCTGAACTCATTAACTTGATTAGAAATCAAAATTTCTCTTTTCTCAATGTAAAAAGTGATAATTTGGGAATACTTAGTTCCCTTATACTCCTGTTCAAATCACTCTTTAAACTCTACTTAAAACTCGTCTTTACTTTCTCAAAAATCAATTTAAGACAAAAAGTTTCGTTAAAAGGATTCTCAAAGCTAACTCGATAGTAACACAATAATAGGAATCATGCAAAAAAATAGACATGAACAATCAACACAAGAATCTCAATGCAAGATATAGCAACTCAAAAATCAAGAATAGAATTCATAATTCAACAACACAACTCATATAATAAATTATCAAAACTAAGAATGTAACCCTAGATTATTCTTTACTGATAGAAAGTAGATGTAGGGCGCGAGGACAAACTCAGTCCATCACTTTAACACTCCGAAAAAAGTGAACATCTTGAATGAGGGTTATAAGAGTCAAGGCCAATGGGAAAGTGCCAAGGCAAAGGGACCAAGCCAAAGCCAAAGGCCAAGGCTGCCCCTAGCTTGGAGCACACTGCCCCACCTTCACGAGTGGAACCACGGACTGTGGTCCACACCACGGCTCGTGAAGCTTCCTTGGCCATGGAAAATTGGCTACCAAAAGTCCAAGCCACTGCCTCAACTTCATGGAAGGGACCACGACTCGTGGTCTTGACCAAGGCTCGTGGAGCCCTTCGTGAAGATGACTTGGGCAAGTGGCTTGTGGCACAAAGTAGCCTAGCTACTGCCTCAACTTCACGGAAGGGACCACGACTCGTGGTCTTGACCACAACTCGTGTAGCCCTCCGTGAAGATGACTTGGGCAAGTAGCTTGTGCACCAAAACCCTAGCCACTGCCACAACCTTCACGGGCAGGACCACGGGTCGTGGTCCTGACCATGACTCGTGACACCTGGGCGTGGTCAATTAATAAGGGTTAGTTAAGTTATTTCCTATTTTAGTCCAATTAAAGTGGAGTCGTTTTGGGTATTTTAGGGGTACTATATAAGTTGTTTTAAGTCCAAATTCACCCAAAATAAGTCATTTATTCAAACACCCAAATAATTTCCAAAATCCTCTCCCTCACAATATTACTCTCACTAGAAATCTTCCATTGAAGAAGACCAAGAGCTTGGAGGCTAGGGCTCAAGAACTCATCTTCTCTACTTAAATTCATGTGGAAATCTTCAATCAAGGTATGGGGGTCTTGATTCATGGAAAGATTTCTTTCATGAAGCCCTAAAACTCTCAATTTCAAGTTAGTATATTCTTCAAAACCTAGGGTTTTCAATCTTTGTCATGGGTTCCTCCAAAAAACGATTTCAATGAGTTAATTGACTATTATTATGATTGAATTGTTGTTTATTGGTGATTTTACGATAAAGTTCCCCATGAACCCATGAATTTCTCCATGACCCAATTTCATGAATTGTGATGGGTGTATTGATGCAAAAGGAATACTATGAATTGTGGCTATGGTATGTTAGTCATTTAAATTAAGTTGTTATTCATGCCTATTGTAGTATTTCCAGGTGTGATTGTGAGACATGATTCATGACCTTTGAAGGGTAAATTATGAGGGTTTGTACATGTTGATGAAAATTGTGTATGAACTTATGATTCACTTAGAAAGTGAAGATCCTATGACTATTGTGTAAATTATGGTATTGTTGAAAAATCATTCTCCCCTTACCCTTACAGATGACCATGTATGAATTGTCTAGGATGATGATAATGTTGTTGTGTTGATTGAAAGGATATTCTCATGAAACACTAAGAACATAATGTGAAAGGTTTACTCACATGTGAATGCTGATTCTAAGGTTGAAAGTCCATTCTCACCTAATTGAATCTATGAGCTATTTTATGAGTTGTGTTGAATGAAGGGTAAGATGCTCCTTCACACATGTAAATGCAATTCAAGACTAATTATGTATAATTTGGGAAATAATGCTTAGCATCGAGTGGATATGAAAAGTGAGGTAGAGGCTTTCCTTTCAATTCAATAGGTTGGGTCATCTAAATTATTCTCATGAGATGGAAGCTCCTCCGCCAATACAATAGGTCGGGTTTCTAGAAGCAATCTCCCTATTCCAAAACTATGTGCCCACATAGGTCTTTAGCTAGTGGATCCACCTAAAAGCTAATACATTTAGTTCTACCTCAGGCAAATAGGACACCTTCTTTCCGTGTGGGGTTACACGACATCGGATTCCATGTAGCTCACGTGGTCTATGTCGGTTATGGCTATTTTCCCTACATGACAAGATTATGAATATGACACGGACTATACTCATGACTTCTTAATGAGCTTTACTTAGTATGAGTGGGGATATGAGACTTCACTTTTACATTGCACAAATAGACTTTGCAAGGGGTTATGGGGTGCTTTCTAATGCTATGAAAATGTATGCATGTATGTTGATGGATTGTTGCTAGGAATGACTTTCCTTATGTTCAAGTTAATATACATGACTATTTTCCTTGTCTATGACTATTGATTATGATGAGGTCTAAGGATGATATATGTGACTAAGGTGGCCTCAAAGGGGTACTTAGTATGGTTGGTATTATGGGATTCCAACCATACATTGCACAAGTATACCTCAGGGTTACTAAGGTAATGACTCTACTATGTTATGAGGATTTATGATGAATATGCTAGGACTTGTCTTCTACATTGAAAGTGCATGGTGATTCTCAAACTTGGCAAATGCATGCTTTTCAACTAAATTGTCCTTTTTAGCATGTTTTAAGGATTTTTATTGCATGGCTTCCATACTTAGTACATATTTGTGCTAACCCCTATTTCTTCTACATTTTTACAAAGTGTAGGTTCCGGCGTGTGAAGTGTACTTCCTTTCTTGACTAGGGCTTGAATTGTTTATCTCCAAGACTTATGGTGAGTCCTCATGGTTTGAGGACAATATGTCATTCACTTCTAGTTACTTTCTTATATTCTACTTGTCACGACCCGAGACTATACCCCGGAAGCGACACGACGTACTCGACCTTGAAGGGGTCTTATACAAGCCTCATAATATTCATTCAACATAGGTAATAGAAATAGTACGGAAGTAAAACTTTTTTATTCAAAAACCATATAATCTAATGACATTCATTTATAAAGCAGCGGAATACTAAAGTCTCACATGTCCATCTTAGACAAAACTTTAAACAAGATAGAGTCACGACCCCTTTACAATCGAAGTCTTAACAATGGTCTTAAAATATGAAAGAACTAGAAACATTAAAAGGGCTTAGATTGCTTATCTCCAAGACTTATGGTGAGTCCTCATGGTTCGAGGACAAGATGTCATTCACTTCTAGTTATTTTCTTATATTATAC